AGTCGGAGTACCTGCGAATGTCAGATGTAGTTTGACGCAAGTAAGCAAACGCCCCAGACCGTGATGTCACCAGCCAGGGTTGGCGGGGGAACTGATGTTCGTTCAAGAGTTGTGAAGTAAGGCTTCCTGCAGGGTGTCTGCGTCACGGTAATAAAGAAGACTGTCACGCCATCAACAGAAAACTCAGCGTAATGGCGCGTCTTGACTACATAAGCAATTCAGAAACAACGCAAGATTTTTTTTTTAATTATGAGAAATAGTTATAAGGAACAACCGTAGTAACGGAAAGGAACATGGTCACACGAACGATAGAAGGAGAAAGCGATGAAGCGGGAAGTCCGCATTGCTAAATGATGTTGGATAAGTCATGCAACTGAGCGCTGACGTTCCGGGGGAACTCATATTTTCCTACCGGGTGAGCGAGAATAGGGGTATGAGGGGAGGAGAAGGCTGCTCCTCACGCTCACATATGATCTTTAGTACGTTGTGCTTAAGCATCTACCACCTCACACATCGCAGGCAACTGTGCAAGTAATTGGTTGAAGGTATGGCATTTTTTAAAAAACTGTTCTAAACTATCTAACAAAAAAGTTCACTTCGACAAATTTCCTATCAAAACAAACTGTATAATGCAGAGTCTTGATCGAGCAGTACCATGTTTGAAGTACGACGCTGACTAGGGAGGCAAGTTTGGAGGATCACACACCGCACGCGCAAATGCTCGCCGTGAGCCATCGTGAAATAGGCTCTCAGCACCAGATTTGGAGTGGTCGTAATTAGTGAATCGACATGTCGAGTGACGCTCTAAAAGCGAGATGCAGTAACTCTCACTCACTCTCGCGGCGCGCTTATGTATATATTTCTTTTTTTGGTGTGTTATATATCTGATGCCGTCGATCTGAAGAAACTTATCGAAAACAAAACATCGATATTTTCTTGAACTAATATTACAATCGATCAGTGTTACATCACGATGGTGCAAACGTGGAAGATAGGTGGAGCTTATTTCGCATGCATTCGACTTCTGAGTTTCAGGCACCAGTTTTGCGTCAGCAATATTAGCGGGAATTATAAGAGTCTCTTTCCAATGGTTGCAGTATGTACTATCGTAGTGCTCTGTAATACAATTTACATATCAAACTATTTGAAGACGACCAATTGAAAAATGTGTTTTGCTCTTTATCTTGACACAGCTACCAAAAGAACCCACCTTCACTTTAAGAGAGTTAAAAATGTATTTGCAACATCTCCATTACAAAGCACCGTATCTCCCGTGTCAATAGGGAGTATCCGCACCCCCAGGCGTCATCCCATTACCTAAATAGAAAATCTTGACACTTTTGAACAAATGTTAGCGAGTTTGTACATTCTTTATGTGATGTTCGTATCTTCTCACGAGTTCGGTTGACTGATCTGACGTAGGATAATACTCTGTGACCAGTATCGGAGGGTGATGATTGTATGGAAACTGTTGTGAGTATGTTCATTAACGTTTCGCTTGTGGTCCGCATTATGATAAAGTTTAGTATGAGGTGGTTGAGTTGAGAGTGTAGTCTCTCCACCAGACTATGCATCATAAGGTCGAACGTTCAGCTCTTCGGATGTCCAACAGTGAGTAATGATTCTTGGGAGATATTTGAGGTAGGCTAGAATGTGATGGATGTGCGTCATGAGATTATTGTCATAACTAAAACTTTTTTTTTCATTGGCATTATCCTTGTTCGTGTCCTCACTGATAACTCCAGGCAGAGCTGAGAGACATCTTCGCAAACTGGGTGACACGTCTGAACAGCTCTCACTGCAGATCAATACAGATGCTAGTCACTCATTGACTCTCTAAAAAATGTTTACAGTGTTATTTTTCCCAAACTTGACTACATCAATTTGTGTCACTTTCCTCTACCCCTTTAAAACAAATACAAAATTCCTCAACGAATATGCAAAGTTGGCGAAAGTAACTTTTGTTTTTTCAACAGATACAAGAACACCATCCGTTCTTAATATCAAGTATCTTTACAATTTTGTTCTCAGAAGCAAATTTTATTTTTTTTATATCATTCCGTGTCTTGTCACAGTAACTTTAATAATTTTGTTTGAACAGTTTAAAAACATACAACCCACTGATATTTACAAACAGCGAATGGCAACTTGGCAATTCTGAAGGATTTCTTCACGTCACACAACAGTTTTTTAATTGTTTTTTACGTAAATAAATAGAAGGCCAGTTGGTGAGTAAGGGCTTTATAGGCCAATGTCCAGTGAAATTGCATTGGTCTGCCTGATATATGCCTATGTACCCTCCTGCTGCCATCTCAAAAATTTGCTGTATGCTTCTTATCTGAATAAGTAATATTTCTTTTGCAATATTTGGAACTACTCCTAGAGCTCAACTTCTGGACGTAATAGAAGAGGGCAATCGTGCAACAACTAATGTGTAGAAAATGAAGCATTGCTCATAATTGACAATAGTTACATTTGTACGTCTAATTGTGAAGATGGCATATATATATATATATATACTATATATATATATATTATATAATATATAATATATATATACTATATATATAATTTTTTAAACACATCTGAATGATCGCTGTTTATATTTGCGTAATGCAGTCTACAGAACGTACACAGTCGCCACTGAAATAAGCACTTTATTATATATCTACGCAAAACATTCGAGTACTTAAACAAAATACTTAAAATAGAAATTAAAGTTAAAATAACAATGCATTCTGTATAACTGAAATACTGGCTTACTGGGATCAAATAAAAATGACATTCCAGGTTTCTACCTTGCGGGAAACTTACAGCCGTAAGGCCCAAACACACCAAGCAGCAGTCATATGCTTGCACAGAAATGACTTGATGAGGCAACGAAGTATCTGAATTTAAACATGATAACGTGCGACTTTAAACTAGAATGGTTCATTGTAAGAAATTCCAAAGCCTAACATCCTAAGCATTTACAGAGCATCTAATAGAAATCTCCAGATATTCTTTAAAAAACTTAAATAATCAGTGTCTGCTTTACTCTATTTCGATCTGTGGTGTTTTTGTAAACATTAACTTCTACCACTAGTTAACATCATTGATATAAAAAAACTAATAAACTAAGGGCACAGCGATAATCTAGTGTAGTAATTGACAACGCCAACCCAACGAATCAAAGAAACTCCAAAAAGCATCAAACCAAAATGCTCTTATACAAAACATGGCAATCACGCACTAACAAACGGGCTCAGGGATTAATGCACAAATTTACTCTAAAAACAAACCAATAAAAGAAACTAGGAAGTATATTGTAAACATTGTTCAGAGGTACTTAGCACAGTTTTTTTGTTTCTAGACACTCACACGTGGAGTCAATTCACGTTACATAAAAAATGGACAACTTTGAGTCGATATAATAAAATCCGTATTAATTTATTAATACATTATTCATTGTTTTAATGTATAAATATACAACAATCATTTCTCTATCTGTGTATCGTCTACTGGCCCATTCTACTACTAAAACTATCAACATTTTTAGGCTGGTATAGAAATTAAAGTTACGTTCACAACACGTTCCGGACCGACGTTGCGTCTTCAATGAAATCATTAACGCAAACTACAATAGAAACAAATAATAAAATACATTAGACACACAAAGATTCTTGTGCCGTACTTAATAAATTAAGTTAAGGACACAATTTTAGTTCCGGTTACTAATAAAATAGGAACGAGATCGTTTTCAAACATTGCAGGGTAGAACCTTTAAATGAATAAGGTGCATATCTACATGGAGAAATGTGGCTATCAGTTGCCGAGGCATTTTGGTGAGGTTAACAAATAGCTTATCGACGATTACAGGATACAATATAAACAACTCCATTCAAGAAGCGAAAATAATTTAACAAAGCGTTTGTTTTTGTTTGTAAAGAAAATATGTCATTGCCGTTAACGCTGACAAAGGGCAGTACACTGTAATAATGAATTGTTCTGATATGTTGAAAAATTAAATTATCTTTGCCATGATAACTTACGTCAAGCTTCACACTACAAGGGAAACGTGTATAATGAAGGTTAATACAACTAAGATTTAACCTGAAAGAAAAAATGGAATGGATTGGACGACAAATTGTACAAACATACTGTACGCTAGCCCGACATGTCCTAACTATTGGACACAGAAGACAAGCTCTCCCCTCGGATATATTGAGGGCGTAGTGCAACGCACACAATAAACGACAAAGTCTTAAACATGACTGAACCTCAACGCCGAACTGGCAAATGACTAAGGTCCGGCGCGAACCTACACCTACAACCTACGCCAAGCAGTGAAACGCTCTGTGTGCGAACTGCAACAAACAACTATCGCAGACCTTCGCAAAAAAACGTTTCACCTGCTGCGGCCGCTTCCTTCGGGACGTCGCCGGAGGGTCGGCGAAGAGCACTACCGCTTGACGGGCACGCGCTGCCGTGGCGGCGGCCCTTAGGGCGCCTTCCCAGCGGACGGGGGTGGGTTCTGCAGGGGTATGTTTTGCCGACCCTCTGGCGACGACGAACAAAGAGACCGCAGCGACCGGCGGCACAGTGGGAAGGCTCCCATTTAAAGCTATGTACTGCTAGCCGTTGCGCATATGCCCTCCTCCGCCTCGCGTGGCTGGAGTTTGGCGTCGGCTGCCGCAGCAGCGGCCACCCGCTGCACGTGGGAAGGCCTCCATTCAAACCACTGCCCTGCTACGCGCGGCGTTGCTCGGAAGCGCGTCGCCGTCGCGACGTGAGAAGGGGCCCCAAGAGTGTAGCAGGGCCGCAGGCACGGCGTAATTTACGACATCGTGTTCTTTTCGAGCTCTTGTGATTTGTTTGCGTGGTTTTCAGCGCCGTGTAAGATTCGGAAATATGCAGCATTCTGTACAATGATTAAATAGATGACATAGTTTGCTTGCATTTTCTGGTTATCATTAATACAAGGCCTGGATTATTAAATACAAAGGAAAACAAAATAAAGCAACATTTATAAAATTCGTTATATTTTTAAAACTTAAAACTTTATACAATGCAAGATGCATTCTCAATTAAATGTTGAACAATTACAATCCCATCAACACATTTACTTTCAATATAAAATATCAAAGCAACAGTCAATTCCCTGATATAAAACATCCACTACAAGGAGTCTTGCTGGTCTGAGGTAATATTTGGGGTTCACTCCCTTGAACATGCTCTCACTGCTAGTTCTGACAAATGAAAGGACTTGCAAGGGTGATGGATTAAAATACAAAAGTTAAAACATCTATTCTGAATTATAAGAATCAATATTTAATTTTACCACAACAACGAAATTAATGCCATTAGGGACACTCACCTCTACAATGTGAAAACTGATTTTACATGGTGTTAAAAGCATCATGCAGTGAAAGTAAATGAACTGAAATGAGCTCGAGGCCACTGTAGAATATTTGCACATGTTGATGCTAGGGGTCCAAACAAAGCCCAGATAACTGATATGGCATCACTAAAACATAAGAATTAGCAGTGTGGAAATCTACAAGATATTAACTAATAACCTGATGATTTAATTAAGTTACAAAATGTTACTGCAACACATACACCATATCTTTATATCCACTGTTCTCTGATCGCGATTAATATTTAACACTTATTGAACTATAATACAATTCAAAAAGTGAATGTATATCTTTGCATTTGTGATGATAAACACACAAATTAAAGGGCTTTTTCTTTAAAGCTCGTGCATAAAAGTAATTTCTCATCATGAAAATTATGTAATGTATTCTTTAAGAAAATTTTTAAGTCATAAATAACAAAAATATATAACATTGTATTAATTATACAAATCTATCAATCTAATCTCTAAGAAAACTCAATGAAATTAGTAACGGAGGAACATACATTTTATTATTTGTATCCTAAGAGGCAAATGATATGAATCACTAACAACGAGAAAATAAAAGGTAAAGAAAATTATAAATGAAATTGTGTGTGTTCTTGTCATTTTTAAAAGTTTAACATTTTTTTTATTTTACCATTGACTTTATTGGAATTTTTTCCCTGGATATTACCATACAGACTGTTAAAGTGAATAAATAAGAATTAAAAACACAACATTTGCTGCATTTAGAAAAATTAAACATGAAGCATGAAAGGGGAGACCAAACCAGAAAACCATTTGCAGCCAATCACTCCTTGGTCTATCATGATTAGAAATGAAAAAGGCAGCCCAACTCATCCGCATAAGCTTAGTAGTAAGTACATTTGTTATGAAAATACTATGCATAATGCCAAAACCAATTTTATTTCATGTACGAGATCATAGGGACAAAATTAAAAAGAACTACTGTGAAAGGGACAGGCCACATACCTTTAAAATCTGAAACCTTCAAAATATTTACCTAAATCCTTATGGTAATACACAAAGAAGTTTGCATGCTATCACACTGGTTCATCATGAATACAAAAGACAGACCAACACATTCATGTTATCACATAAGCTTAGTACGAAGTTCTCTTATTATAGAAAAGCTAAGAATAATGCCAAAACCAACCAACCAATACCTGTTAATCATTTTTGGAATTATTATAATACCTATGTCCAAGAGTACATGAATAGTATGTAGACTTTACTCACTGGAAGGGAGAACCAAAATATTCGATTTCAGGTATATTCTCCTGTTAACATTGAAATCAAATGCTTCAACCTGCAGAATAAATACAAACATTCAAAAGGATGTTCCAGTATTAACTTAAATAGGGTTAAACTAATATTAAAAATATTTACAATCATTCTCACTTTTCTGAGCTGAACACCCATATCCAAAGGCTTGCATCTCTTTAAAAAGATTTTCAAATTCTTCCTCATAGCCAGAAATATCTCCATCGGATTGCAAATAATCCTTCTGCCTCCTCTGCACAACTTCAAGAGAATTAGCCATGTTTCTAGTGCAGATGAAACAGCGGTTTATTACCATGAGCATTGGACAAAACCTTAAATACCACCAGAAAAAATACAAAATAAGCACCTGTAAGCAACAATGACTCCTATTTCTTTAACTCATTGTACAGAATATGACATTAATAATGCAATGCTGCAGATTTCCGAATCTTATTCTCCGCTGAAAAAACAAACACACAAACAAATCACAAGAGCTCGACAAACATGACGTCGTTATACATGTAAATTACGACGTGCCTACGACCCTGCTACACTGAAAGTCGCGCTCTCCTGCGGGTCGGCACGTCCAGAGCAACTGCGATGCCAGACGTGGCCGACTAATTGCAAACACCCAGCCGTGACGTCACCGCCAGGGTTTCTTGATGGGAGAACTGTGCTCAGCGTTGTGAGAGTACGGCAGTACGGTTTCTTCTACCCAACCAATATCCCCAATACCTTCTATAAAAAAATCTAATACTGGTTCCAGTAGATAGTGACCGAACGGCGTCAGGGATCTACACTCTAGTATATTATTGCTTCTGCGCACGTCATAATCGTGAACATCTCGCCGTCGCGCTCATACAGCTGCTTTAAGACATTAAATAACGCTAAATTTTCTAATATATAAAGAATACTTACTAATATTTACTCAGAATAAACAACGACAATCTAAATCAGTCATCTACTTTTCTGAAAGAAGCTTTTTAAAATATTTCGTAGTCCAGCCATACATGTTTTTAATAGCACTCTGCAAGGCATTTTAACTACTTGAAATGTAATCAGCTTATATTGTCTCAACCCCTTACTTGGAAAGTACGATTTCACATTACATTTTATGGCATTCTATCATCCTCTTGTTATTGCGAGGTAAAAATTGCAAAATTCGGAGGGGGAAAAAATACCCGAACTTAGTTTTGAAACTAGAAAACGAAGCCTGCCCCTTTTTTGCTTGTGACTTTAGTAGATCTTGTTTTTGCTTTAATATTTAAATGTCATATCCTACAAAGTATCCTTTTCCTGACATGTAACTTCACCAATTGAAGATTCAAAGATTTTCTGTCGGAAAATTTTGCAGTCTTTGTACCACATTATGGTCTTTGCATACACTATGCTGTCCACGGAATTGTAGATGTTAGGATTCAAACTCTTATCATATTTAACCAATTATTTATTGGGACAATCAAACCATCCCACAAGGTTTTTACCCAATCTCCATCTGAATGAGATTTTGTTCAATATCCATGCAAAGAGAACAATCATATGATTTACTAAGTTGAGCTATGTACCCAACTATATAGCGTAGATCTTCAATTGTACATTCAGAAGTGGATTCGGGTGCACATGATATGTGAATATTTAATACCTCATTTCTACCTCCGAATCATCGTGTACCCCTTTCAGTATTTCTTCTACATTGGGAGTTCCCTCGTCAAATAAGTATGATGTGAGATCTGTCAATGCGTTAACATCTTGGTCAACAGCTACACGACAGGAATTGTTTAATGTTATATTTGTAACATTTCTGTTCATTATAACGAGACATAAGCGACTTGTGAATTCAACAGCAAGAGGGTGATCGTATGTTCATCCTTTTGCTCTTATCTGAGAAAACAAATTTTCGAGGAAGTCTTGATTGAATCAAGATATAAAGATGTACTTGATGTTGTAATTGTTTTCAAGTCCTTTGTGACAAGAAATCAGAAAACGAATTGAAATCATGAATCCTTTTCGAAATGGAAGAAAGGAGTTTCTTTTACCAAACCGCATAGTCTCACAAATTGCACAAAATGTTTTCAGTAATAGTTCTTGAGCATGCATTTGCATTCAAAAAGCATTTGTAATAGAATGATTGTTAGATTTTGAAAACCCTTTCTGAATTCATTACATCAAACACATCATTTACTAACTAAATAAAATTAGGTAGATCGTGTTCATGAGGTAAGATATTGCCTGAGCAACATGATTTGACAGTAGTTGACAAGGAAGATGAACTTTTTGTTGATCCCTTCCAAACACAATGAAATGAGCAGGTGGCAATTTTGGGCATCAATAAATTTCCCCACAGTTCAGATTGCAATTCTCGCACATAATCGTATTTCCTAAAATGGAGATGGCATATAGTGGCACATTAAATACATAAATTAAATGTGTTTGCACACTTACAAACTTGAAACCACTTACCTCCCAGAATAGGATCTTAAGGAAACGAATGATACACTACATCACTTCACTTCCTACAATTTTTTAATTGTAATGTTCCTAACCTAATTGTAACCTCAGGTCAA